GGGTCCCCGCAGCCTCCCCGGGTTTCTTGGGACCCACAGCCCACTCTCGCCCGGACCAGGAGCATCCTCTTCAACCCCGATGGCTGCTGCCTGTACAGCGGCTGCCAGGACTCGCTGCGCGTCTATGGCTGGGAGCCCGAGCGCTGCTTTGACGTGGTCCCAGTCAACTGGGGCAAGGTGGCCGACCTGGCCGTCTGCAACAACCAGCTGGTGAGCGAGCTGCCCACCCTCCTCCTGTTGGGCCACCCGGCTGCTGGCACCAGGCCACCGGGCCCTCGTGGGGACCCTGCCCACCTGTGCCGTAGCCACTGCCGGAAAGGGCCCCACCCCAGCTCTGCCCTTCCTGCAGATAGGCGTGGCCTTCTCCCAGAGCAACGTCTCCTCGTATGTGGTGGACCTAACACGGGTCACCAGGACAGGCACAGTGGCCCAGGACCCCGTGCAGGACAGCCGGCTCTTGGCTCACCAGCCACCCCTCCCCACCGCCCCCCTTCGGCGCATCTATGAGCGGCCCAGCACAACCTGCAGCAAGCCTCAGAGGTGGGCTTGGGGCTCGGGGTGCTGGGGGGCACTGGGGGGCCCAGCACAACCTGCAGCAAGCCTCAGAGGTGGGCTTGGGTCTCGGGGTGCTGGGGGGCTCAACACAACCTGCAGCAAGCCTCAGAGGTAGGCTTGGGGCTCGGGGTGCTGGGGGGGCACAGGGCGCTGGGGGGCCCAGCACAACCTGCAGCAAACCCCAGAGGTGGGCTTGGGGTGCTGCGGAGCACAGGAAGTGGGCCCATCCGCTGGAAGACTTCAGGGGGGCCGGCCTGGCCTCACTGGCCCTGGCCACCCTACAGGGTAAAGCAGAACTCGGAGAGCGAGCGCCGCAGCCCCAGCAGTGAGGATGACCGGGACGAGCGGGAATCTCGGGCGGAGATCCAGAACGCTGAGGACTACAATGAGATCTTCCAGCCCAAGAACAGCATCAGTGAGGCCTGGCTCCCACCCTTCGAACCCCAGCATCCCCTTCTGTGAAAGGGATGCAAACGATCCTCCAGGGACTGCGTCCATTCACTTCCCAAATTCCTAACACCCACCTGGCCAGACTCTGTTCCTGGTCCTCTGGGCCCCAGTAGAGCCCTGGCAGCCACTCAGTCCCCTGAGCAAAGGAAGGCCCACAGGGCAAATGGGTGGGAAGGGCCAGGGTCCCCAGTCTGCAGCAGCATGCCTGAAAACTAGCCCGCCTCCGTGTCCTGACAGGCCCCTGGACCCCAGGTCACCTCAGCCCTAGGGGCTCAGACAGGAGCCTCGGGCAGCCAATGTGAACCCCCAACCCCCTTTGCCTCTACAGGTCGGACACCACCCCGAAGAAGTGAGCCCTTCCCAGCACCCCCAGAAGACGGTGAGCCAGAGGGTGGGGCAGAGCCTGGCCTCCAGGCTCCCCAGTCCTCAAACCCCCGCCCTCCCTGGTATCCCCTCGCTGGCACCATCCTACTCCCTCTCCCACTGGCTCAAGAGCACCGACTGTGCTGAGCCCCACACTAGGCCCTGGTGAGTCCGCACGGACGAGGCAGGCAGGCGCTCCCCCCAGAGCCCGCCCCTAGTGAGGAGGGCAGGCAGCAGACCCCCACACGGCGGGTCCAGAGACGACACGTGTGCTGTGGAGGAGCATGCTCACCACCAGCACCCCCGGCACACGCTTCCTGGTGACCCCTCCACACGGTGCCAGACGCCTGCTTCCTGCCAGGCCTGGGACAGAGGAGGCAGAACCTGGGGGACAGGCACAGCCCCTGCCCTTGGGCCTCCCCGGCTGCCCGTGGGCTCCGCTCTGTCCCCCACGATTGTAGATGCCATCAGAGTCTCACCCTGACCCCTGCCTTCTTCCTGACCCAGAGGACCTTTCCTTTTGCCCCCAGACACGGCCATAGCCAAGGAGGCGGCAAAGTCCAGCCCAGCCATGGACACGCAGTTCCCGGTGCCAAACGTATGTCAGGGTGGTGGGCTGTGGTGTGAGACTCAACAGCAGGGCTGGGACCCTGAACCAGGGTTGGGGGCAGAGAGGTAGCTCTCAGGCCAGCCACCCACTGTGCTCTGGTCCTCCAGCTTGAGGCCCCGCCCTGGCCCCAGGTCATCACTTCCACCCCTGTACCCAAGGCTGAGCCTGCCATCATCCCTGCCACCCGGAACGAGCCCATTGGGCTGAAGGCTTCCGACTTCTTACCCGTGAGTGGGGAGCTAGCCCAGGGGTGGGGTGGAGGCTCATGGGGCAAGGGTAGAGCTTTGCTGCCAACACCTGGGCCCCTGTCCGCCAGGCCGTGAAGATCCCCCAGCAGACAGAGCTGGTGGATGAGGATGCCATGTCGCAGATCCGCAAAGGCCACGACACCATGTGCGTGGTGCTCACCAGCCGCCACAAGAACCTGGACACTGTGCGGGCCATGTGGACCACGGGCGACATCAAGGCAAGGGCCATCTTCACCCCTGACCCAGGAAAGGGCCACAGGATGTGGGGCGGTGGGGGTAGGCAGCCCCTTTCACCAGTGTGGCTGACTCCACCTTTATTTCTTCCACCCCCGTCCTCACCAGTGGCCACTTACTGAGCACCTGTGTATGGGCCTGGCCTTGCAAGGATCCTTATTTTAGGTGGTCATTTTAATACCCTGCAAAAAACCCATCGTCACACCATACCCAGGCAGGGGCCTCTCTATCCCCAGCCCTCTGTGATGGGTGCTCTGTTTGCACAGACATCGGTGGACTCAGCCGTGGCCATCAATGACCTGTCGGTGGTAGTGGACCTCCTGAACATCGTCAACCAGAAAGCGTAAGTGGCCACAGCGGGCGGAGTGGGCAGAGTGGGCGGGGCTGGGTGCTGAGGGCACCTGTCCCCGGGCCTCTCCCCAGCTCCCTGTGGAAGCTGGACCTGTGTACCACGGTCCTGCCGCAGATCGAGAAGCTTCTGCAGAGCAAGTATGAGAGGTAGGTCGTGGGGAAGCCCTGCCCACCTCACAGCAGGGAGGGGACAAAGAGGCTCCCACAGGGACCACGTGAGGTGGCTGCCTCTGATCTGCCTCTGCCCATCTGTCTTTGTGTACTTGCTGTTTGTCTGTGGCTCCATCCTTCCTTCTGCCTCTGAAGCTATGTCCAGACGGGCTGCACCTCACTGAAGCTGATCCTGCAGCGGTTTCTGCCCCTGATCACTGACATCCTGGCAGCCCCGCCCTCTGTGGGCGTGGACATTAGCCGGGAGGAGAGGTAAGGGGCCTGGCACCGTGCCTGTGTTGGGGGCAGGGGGTGCCACGCCCGGTGAGGACACACAGGCCCAGGGGCCCAGCCCGCTCTTGGGAGGCCCTGGTGGAACCACTGTGGAGGAGGCCACTGTGCCTGCAGAGTCCTTGGCTCAGGGCGTCAGGCGGGGATAGCAGAGCCTGGGCTCCTCCATGGCCTGGCTTTGCCCTGAGCGCTGGTATTGCCTGGGAGACAGGAGGGCGTGGTTAGGACAGGCAAGGCCCCAGGGTCAGGGGGGTCATGGTGTCCAGGCAGCCGGCCATCTCAAGTGCTGCTGCCCCTCTACCCACAGGCTTCACAAGTGCCGGCTCTGCTACAAGCAGCTCAAGGGCATCAGCGGCCTCGTCAAGAGCAAGGCGGGCTTGAGCGGCCGCCATGGCAGTGCCTTCCGGGAGCTGCACTTGCTCATGGCCAGTTTGGACTGAGGGGTCCAGTGGGTGGGGGCACCTGGCAGCCCTTGGGACCTGGCCTCAGCCCACACTCCTGCTCCCTGTGCGCCCAGCGGCCCCAGAGCCTCTGCCCTGCCCCCTCCGCTGCCCTGTGGCCGTCCTGGAGGCCACAGCAGTGGCCCACCAGCCACCTCCACAGCCCCAAACTCAAGACAACTTCTGTCAACAGTGGCTGCCCAGCTTTGCCCAAATCTTGCTTCCTGGGGCAGCCAACCAAGCCCTGCGGCTGCTGCTGTAATTTATAAGGCAAATTTTATTAAATTTGTAACTATTTACTTGTGGTTTTTTTGTGGGGAGGGGCATATCTGGCCACAGGGGCTTCTGCGGGGACCGTGCACCAGCCTGCTGGCCAGCAGGGGGCAGCAGAGTGCCGGGCGAATGGGAGAGGGCGAGTTCTGACTTTGGGAGAAAGGGAAGGCAACAACTCTTCCTCCACGGCTGGGAGAAAGGTGAGGCCGAGGGGGCCCATCTCCTCCATCTCAGCCACACTCCCAGAGGTGCACTGGGCCCTCCATGGCCAACAGCTAAATCCTGCAGGATGCCAGGACCCCCACCTCACAGCCGTGGCCACCACTGTGCTGGCCCAGAGCCCAGCATGCACCCCAGCCCCCCAGACAACCTTTAGGCCCAGGGCTGGGAGGGCAGTCCCCACACCCCCCTAGGAGGGCCCTGAATGGACTTCATTCTGTGCAGGAGTCCCCAGTGCTGGCTGGCCAGCACCAGCCTACCCCAGCCAGTAGGCTTCACTTCTGCTTCCGAGGCAGCAGTGAGTGGGTGGCTCAGCCCCTGTCAGAGGGGGGGCCCATTGAGCACAGTATTCCCCTAAGGCTGGGACCAAGTCCAGACCAACATACCCCATGGTGGGGGTGGGGGCTGCCCTGCATTGGTGGTCAGGGTCCCATAAGCCCTGGGAGGAAGGTGGCACTCGCCTGGGGCCGGTTCACTTACAGGGACAATTCCAAGACTCGCGGAGCCTTCACTTCCCGTCTACAAGGTGGAGGTGCCAGCACTGTTCGTGGGTCGGTCACTCACAATCAGGGGGGGGGCGCCAGCCCCCCAGTTGCAGATGTTCAGGACACGCCAGGCTTCCTTGGAGGCCGCAGGCAACCAGCAGGTGGCGCCATCGCCCCTGCCCTGCTCCTGATGGCCAGAGGCTTGTGAGACCCACCCTTCCAGACCACGCTTGTGTAAAAAGGCTTTTATTTTAATACATAAAAATGGCTAAGCTTCCAAAAGTTCTTAAATAGGGTTTCAGAGGGAGGAGTATGTCAAGAGACCGGGGGGGGGGGAAGCCTGGTGCCAGGCAGATGAGGGGTGTAACAGAGTCCCCGCCCCCTGGCCTCCTGCCCGCCATAAATACAGCCCGGCCTGGGGCTGACAGGGCCGTGCTCCTATGTACACCAGTGCATCCCATACACATGCCCCGTGGGGCGCCCCCTGGCGGACTTCCCCTGGCATGCCCACCAACTGACCAGCCTGTTCTGGTTCCTGTGCCTCCCAGGGGCCCCTCAGCTGCCCACTTAAGAGGGTGCCCTGCAGCCTGGGAGAGCTGGGCCAGCCAGGGCATGGGCCACCCTCCCGACACCACTGCCCTCCCCACAAGGGGCCACTGTCTGAGGGTCTGGGCCTGCCAGGTGGAGCAGGACACCCCTGCCCTTCCAACCCGAGTCATTTGCACCAAGAGCCACAGCCGAGAGCCACCATTTCCTTCTGAACATGTTTCATCTCAGGGGAGACAGAAGAGGGGCCTCACTCTGGCCTCTGCCTCCCGGACCCCCAGCTGCAGCAGGTGCAGGCCAGCGAGGCCTCAGGACCTAGCCCCTGGCATGGTGGGTGGATGCGCCTGTCAGTCCATCAGACAGGCAACGGCCTCGACTTCCCTGTGGGGGGGAGGCGCTTGTTAGCCTCTGTTCAAGAGCAGGCGGGAGCCCAGCAGAAGCACACAGACAGCAGGCAGCGGAAGGACAGACCCAGCCTTGAGCAGCAGGCGCCCTGCACAGCCCAACAACCCAAGACGAGGCCAGGCAGCAGGTGGCGCTGGGCCCCTGGCCCACACTCACCTGGAGACTCTGCAGCCTCAGCCTCAGGCTGAAATCAAAGCAACAGGCGTCTCACTGGGGGGCTTGCCTGGGGCCAGGACCCCTCAAGACCCTGCTGCCCCTCTGTCTTTGTGCTCCAAGCACTTGATGGGTCTTTCTGCGACTGGGGCCAAGTTGGGGACTGGAGGCCTGGTTTCCAGTCCTCTGACCTTGCTCGCTCCTCGCCGGGGACATGGAGTGAGCCCTGTCCTTTCCGCCCCCAGGGCTAAGGCCCAGGTCTAGTGATGCCAGACCTGCTGTGGAAGGTGTGCCCCATGAGCCCAACCTGGGACACTTGTGGCCTGGGCCTCCAGGCCCCCGGCCCAGCTAGGAGAGGGTCTTCAGTTTCCTGTCTGTAAAATGGACCCTGCACTATCTGCCCCAATTCCTGGGCCCAGGGAAGGATGTGGCACAGGCTCTAGAGGAGTTTTAGAAACTTTTAAAAAGAAAATTAAAAGCCTGTCCACATAAGGGCAGCCAAGCGGCTATGACTGACCTGCTGGGGATGGGGCTCACCCACCCACCTACCCACTCCCTCCCCGAAGGCTCACCCGAGGGCTGCAGCCTCCTCCGGATGGAGCCTGGGCGGCTAGTGGTCCCAGAGCCGGGGGCCGAATGAGCCCGGGCTGAGGGCTGTGGCGTCTGGCAGGCTGGCTCCCACTGTGGGCAGGGGCAAGCAGGAGGGTGGGGCCGTGCTGCCTGCCCCCCAGCCCTGCTGCCCTCCACTCCCCTCCCAGTCCCCTGACACCTTCCTCTTCTGCAAAATGGGCATGGCAATGGCGATGCCCCAGCTCAATTGTGAGAGTTAAACGAGAGAGTAAAGAAGTGACCTAGTTACCGCTGAGCACCTGTGTGCCCACCTGCGGCCCACCTCCCCAACCAGCCGAAGGCCCCACTGGGACCTCCAAGGCCCTGAAATACTGGGACTAAACAGCCTACTGGGTTTGGGTTCACATTCTGGCTCCGGCCCCTCTGGCATCTCTCCTCCCTCCCTGCCCCCTAATCCTGCCCCTGGCCTGGAAGTCTCCACCCAGTGCCCCTGCAACAGGCCTGTGCCGTCCCCCTACCTCCAGATGCTCCTGGCTGGACCAGGACCCCAGCTCTGCCCTGCGGGACCCAGGGCCCAGCTCCACAGAGCGGACCCTCTCAGCAAACTTGAGGGAGTAGAGCGTCTCACTGGTGTTCTTCTCCACAGGGGACACCTAGGGGACACGAGGGCTTGCTTTCCACCCAAGCCAGCCGCCCCCACAGAACTAGAGTGGGCAGCATGCTCGCCAGAGGGCGCTCACAGCCAGGGGCCCTTGTAGGCACACGGCACGTGTGGCCAGGTCTGCTGGGGAGACTGGAGGGGTGCGCGGCACTGACTTTGGAGCTGGGTGGGGGACAAAGGTCCCTTCTCCACACAGCTTGGGTACCTGGAAGGGGTCCCTGGCCGTGGTGTTGGCCCAGCCCACCCAAGGCCCTCACCTGCACCACCATGAGGGTCTTGCTGTCCCCGCTGAGCGAGTCCTGCAGCAGGTAGGTGAGCTTGGAGTTGCGGAAGGGCACGTGGCCCTGGCGGGAGCGCAGGGCTGCAATGACGTCCCCCAGCGCCGAGAGCGACTTGTTGATGTGCTGTGCCTCCCGAAGGCGGCTGCCCTCTGCCCCGGACTTGCCCACACGCTCCGAGCCGGCCAAGTCCACCAGATTCAGCTTCCCTGCAGGGAGTGCACCAGGCAGGTCACGGGTGCCCTGGGGGCAGCGGCGGGGGCGCTCTGGCCAGGCTGCCCACTGTCCTCACTCACCCGTGGTGCGGAGGCCAGTGCTGCAGTCCACGCCACGCACAGTCACAATGAGCAGGGCGTGCGAGCGGGAGCTGTGCTCGTTCAGGTTGGTGAACTCCGTGGTGCGGTTGGTGTGGCCAAACTCAAACACCTGGGGGTGGAGGGTGGGGCGGGGGGCGGGGCAGAGGCACGGAGCTTAGGGTGAAGTCTTGGAACCACCCCGTCCCCGAGAATGCCTGTGAGGGGTGTCACCCGCTGCATTGTACAGAGGAGGAAACTGAGGCTCCGAGAGATGTGGGGACACGGCTGAGCCAGAGTAGCCCAGCTCTGGGTGGGATCTCCCCACATTTCCCCGCCCCAGCCCCCAGCCCCACACCTTGTTGATGTCCTCCACGCTCTGCACCTGGAACTCAGTCAGGCCCGGCACATACAGCTGCCCACTGCCATCTGGGCACAGCCGGATCTCCAGTTTCTCCTGGGGCTCCTGCCCCAGCAGGTCCCTGCGGGGGGAGAGGCAGGCGGAACAGTGACTCCCTTTTTCCATGTCTCCCACAAGTGCACCCTGCCGGGACGGGGAGGCCACTTCCAGGGGAAAGGAGCGCCTCTGTCTGCGCATCCCAGGGCTCAGAGTGAACCCTCCTGCCCTGCCTGCTGGCTGGGGGGAGGAGCCGGGACCAGCAGAGTCCTCAAGTATAGCCCCCATCTCCCTTCTTCAGGGAGACCCCACTTCCCGTCCCACGTGGCTCTGCGCCAGGGCCACGGGCCTGACCGCCTCCACCTGAGAGCCGCCCACCTGAGGGCCTCGTTGTAGATCTCGGCCACGCTGACGGTGATGGCGTACTCCCAGTCGGACGCCTTTTCCTGCACCTCTGTGAAGAGCAGCTGCAAGGCCCGCTGGTTGATGCCTGGGTTCTCAGGGGTCCCCTGGGGGCAGGAGCAAGACCCCAGTGAGCTGCGCCCCTCCCCACACCGGGATGGCCATCTGGATGCTCACAGGGTATCTGTGACACCCCCCAGCTACCCCTCGCAGGCCAGCCTTCGTGCCGGAAGCTCCCATCTGCATGCTGGTCTGCCCCCAAACCCCCTCGGCCACAGCTGCAAGCAACTTCGTTCCCCTCCACGGGCCTCAATTTCCCGGCACCACCCCTGCCAGAGCTGCCCTGAGCCTTCCGACAGGGCCCTCAGGTGAATGCCTGGCAGGGGACTGCACACAGGGGGTGCTGAGCTGCCTGGAAGGGGCCCCGGGAAGCTAAGATTTCGCTGCCACTGCCCACATGCTGGTCTGACGTCAGTGAGGTCAGAGGCCGGGCTCTGGGGGCGTGGAGGAAGGCACAGGGGGCTGGCAGGTGCCCCGGCAGGTGCCCCAGCCCGGTGAGCTGCCTGGCCTTTCTGAGAGGGAATCTCACTGTTGCCCTCGCTCCCCTTAGATGGTGCCTCCTGCCAAAGGCTCATCTTGCTCTCCTTGTCCGCTCCCTTTGTCCCGACACCAGGACACCTGCCCTCCCGCTACACCCAGGATCCCCACAGCACCCCCCAAAGAGACAGGAAAATGCTAACAAACCGAAGACACCCCCTGGGCCAGACTTTTTATCTGTAGTCAAGATTCTTCCTCGCCTTGGAGGCCCCGGTGCCCCGTGGAGAGGGGACGGGCCCAAGCAGGGAGATGACACTCTGCCCGGGAGTGGCAGGTGAGAGCTGGGCGCCCCATTGCAGTCTGCACCCGTCTGCGTTGGGCTGGTCCCTGCAGCTGCCTGGGGTCTCCTCTAGGGTGAGACCTGCCCTCATTCATTCCGAGAGTCCCAGGGCCCAGCACGATGCAGCCACATGGCGAGCGCCCGGCAGATGTGTGCGGGCGATTTATGGAGTTTGGTCCTGAGAGACGGACTCTGACTTCAAGCCAAGATCCTTCTGCCTCTAGTCTGTTTGCTTCTCCTACCCACGGGGACTGCCACTGGGGCCCCTCTTCAGGCCTGGTGACTTGGGGGGTTGTGAAGACTGAGTGAGGCAACACACACACCATGCAGAACCCCGAGACCAGTGAGGAGAGGCCCCATCGATGGCAGCAAGGGGTGGTCCTCACTGTCCAAATCCTGGTCTCAGCTGGCCGGCACCCACCTCCATTGTATAGGTCTTGCCAGCACCCGTCTGGCCGTAGGCAAAGATGCAGACGTTGTAGCCGTCAATGCAGGAGGTGATCAGGGCCTGCACCTCCTGGAACACCTGGGGAGGAGATGGGCAGGAGGGTGTGGGGCTGCCTGGGCCTCGGGGCCCGGAGCCACGGGGCCCTGGGTTCCCGCCAGCTCCCAGTCCAGCCACCTCCCCCGACTGCTCTCTCCTCCAGCAATAACAACATGTTAATGTGGGCAACCAGCTCACTGTGGAGGAGTTCAGGACTAATAAGTCACCTGCACTAGACGTCAACGGTAACCTGGTTGTCAAAAGACAGAAGGGACGACAGCACAGTGCTTGCTGCCAGCCAACACCTGAGGAAGGGGCCACCCAGCTCTGGAGCTCCAGAGACCAGCCCCAGCTCCTTCATTTTGCTAAATGAAGGCAGAGGGTGATCACCTGCACAGCACCGCCTCTGCCTGCCTGCCTGCCTGCCTGACAGTGAGCCGAGTCGGGGCAAAGGTAAAGCCAGGAGCAGATGGCACAGCACAGGCAAGACAGGCCTGTCAGGTTGGCCTTGGCAGAGGTGTGACAAGAGCTGATGCGCAGACCACTTGCTTCTCACAGGCTGGAGGGACCAGAGGCAGTGCTGTCCAGGGTCATGCTGATGGGAGGGGCCACGTGGGGTGGGAGGGACCACGGGGTGGGAGAGGGCCACGTGGTGGGTGGGGGCTGTGAGGTGGGAGGGGCCATGTAGCTGGGGGGGGCCACTTAGTGGGTGGGGGTGTGATGGTGGGCGGGGCCACATGGGTGGGAGAGGACACGTGGTAGGTGGGGCTGTGGTGGTGGGAGGGGCCATGGGGTGGGTGGGGGCTGTGAGGGTGGGAAGGGCCATGTGGGTGGGAGAGGCCACGTGGTGGGTGGGGCTGTGCATGGATCTGTCCCCTCCAGCAGAGGCTTCTAAGGCCCTGAGTCTTAGTTTCCCATTTTCTTCTCTCCAGAGGGAAAGGAGGGAGGAACCCTGGCACCCAGGCTTCTCCATCCTGTCTCCTTCCACTCTCACACTGCTGTATACCCCCCACCATCTCTCCCTTTCCTGGTGAGTCCCCTTCTTTCCACTGCTCTCTCTCCTTCCCCCCACCACCCACGGGAGCCACACTCACGTCCTGCTGCGAGGCCCTTGGGGAGAAGACTTTGTCCAGTTCAAAAGACACAGGCTTTCCTTTGTGCAGCAGGTGGATGATGGAGTCATCGTCAGGATCGAAGGTCACAGCATTGGTCGCCTCGGGTCCTTCCCCATCCTCTTTGGTGATCGGCCTGACCCGAGCGATCACCCGGATGTTCCCTGGGTCAGGTGGGGAAGCAGAGAAAAGTACAGGCCAAGTCAGGACTAGCCTGCTCTGTGTCCAGTGGTGTCTTAAGCAGCCTGGTGGCACAGGAGGCTCCTGTCTTCTAAGCAAGGCACCCAGGGCCACAAAACTGTTTTCAGTCATTCACACTATAGTATGAATTCACTTATTGGTACAGTTTCTTCCTGAACAAACCAATTGAGGGTGGGAGCTTCGCCTTGGGACAGGGAGAAAAGGTCAACTTCAGGGGTCATGTGGATGGGAAGAGGGGGTACCAGTCTGGTTGGAATGCCAAAACGGATGCTCTTTGCATCTCTGTACTTCATGTTCCCCATGTACACAGTGAAGGGCTTGGGTCACAGTAAGCCAAGGCTCGTTCTATCACTCAGAAAGGGCGCCACAAATGCCAGGATGGGGCCCAGGGAGCAGGAGGGAAGACTGGACCGGACGGCAGGTGGACAACTGGCAGCATACCAATGGGCCCGGCCACAGGATGGCCCTGGGGCTCTGGGAGGCGTGGATCTGGTCCCACCACCCTCTTTGCCTCCAGCCCTTCGGTGGGACCCAGCACTTCCAGGATCAAGAGGAGATTCCCCACCACAGCCAGCACGGGCCCACCTTCCCCCTTCACCAGTCCACTCCAACTCACAGGCCAGTTCTCAGGTCTAGCTTTGCCTCCTCCAGGAAGCCCCCCAACACTGCCCTCTACTATCACATACCCAGGGGCTCTTGGCACTCCTCCCCAGCCCTGGTAACCGAACCCCTGCCGGGGTTCTCTGGCTAAACAACGATCACTGTGCACTCTATGGGCTGAAGTGAGCACCATGAGGCAGGTGGCGTCTGCAGGGCCACAGCCACATCTGTCTCCCCATCTGGAATGGCACCTGGCACAGGGCAGGCGCACTCTCTAGACCTGTGTGCAGCGAACATGTGAAATCTCAAGCTTGAGCTGGCCCTGGGTCAGAACAGGTGGCATCCAGACACTCCCAACCCAGTTCCAATACTGACCCCGTGGCTGCCCGGAGCCTGGGGGTGGCCTGCTGTGGACTCTGGACAAGGGCTTCTGAGCTGGACAGACCAAGTCCCTGACTTCTTTTTTTTTTTTTCATTTTTTAAATTTTATTTATTTATTTTTTTAGTCCCTGACTTCTCTGTGACTCTGCTGCCTTATCCTCAAAGAGGGACTGACAACAGCTCCTCGAGGACAGGGCACAGCTCATAGGATGGTGCTGGGGGCCGAGCGGAAGGGCACGATCACCTCCAAGCCAGGCCGAGGACCCCTATGCCGGGCACCACCGACCCCCCACGCCCACCCAGCAGTCACCTTTCAGCCGCACGAGCTCATTGTGGCATTTCTTGCGCAGCTGCAGCTCCCGGCGGTACTTGCGCAGCAGCTCCTGGTTGTTGCTGTTGACCTCCTCAATGGCCTGGCCGATCTGGTGGGGGACACGCAGTGCCATCCGGGGGCCAGCTCCACAGACTGCCTGCCCCCCGGCAGGCCGAGCACTGTCCCCCGCCCTGGCTGAGTCTTCAACATGTGCTGGCACATGTCAAATTTTCCCAGTAACCCCTCTGGATAGGTAAGGCTACCAATCCCATTTTACAGAGCAAGAAACTGAGCCCCAGAGGGGCTAAGCCAATAGTTCAAGGTCACCCTGCTAAACAGGCAAAGAGCCGGGACTCGGCCTCACTCCACAGCACTCACACTTGACTACAGATTCGGCTGGACCCAAATCCCAACCCTATCCCGAGTAGCTGGGGCACCTGAGGCAATGGGCCCAATGTCTTCCAGCCTCAATAAATGGGGAGAATAATTCTCTCCTCTGTAAAACAGGGATAACACCTCCTAGCTCGAGGATCTGTAGGAGCTGGTAGGTAAAGATTTCCAAGTGGCATTTCCCAGGGGCAAGAAGCCAGATGCAGGCCACATGTCAATATACTGTCCTTGTAGGTAAGAGGGCCTAGACAGCATCCCATTCCTCACGCCCACAATGCCCTGGGGGACATGCTGGCAGAGAGGCCACCTTTGGGGAGCAGGTGGCAGAGAGAGTCCTCTCTTTTTCATCCCATGTCCTTCTGCAGGGTTTGAACTTTATGCCATGTCCAGGGTTATTGACACAGTATCTGAAAGGAGACCTGTCTTCTACTCCCAGAACACACCAGTCTGTCTACCCACAGGGCCGTCATGCAGATTCAAGGAGCTGACGGCTATAAAAGGCTCAGCATGTAGGAGGCACTTAAAAGACGTTGGCTATTCTCATACCGAACAAGCTCAGCTTAAAAACATGAAATTAACCCTAACAGATGTAAGGACATATGTAGCCTGTTTGGGTGAGATAGTCATAATTAGATAAATGCCCAAATACCTGCCCTGGCAAGACGTTTTCAAACGAGGTCTGGGGTGGCAGTGTGTGTGATTTGGGGGTGTGTGGCAGGGAGCTGTTGTCTGGGGCGCTTTGTCTGCATTTTGGAACAGAGCCCCAGTAGATGCTGCCTCTTCCCAAGGGCTCTGGGCTGCTCCCAGCCTGGCCCCCCACGGCTTGCACTCACCTCGGCCTTGACGCTCTTGAGGGCCTCCTGGAGCAGCAGGGGGAAGCCCCGCACCTGCCGCTTGAGCCCATTGTAGTCGTTGGTGAGGGTCCGCAGGGCCGGCTGCAGCGTCAGCAGGTTGGTCCGGACCCCTACGGGGACAGAACAGGTGTAAGGTGGACAGGGCCAAGGGCTGCGGCTTGGGGCAGGCCAGGGCCCGGGGGGCCGGCTCACCTGCCAGGTTCTCGTGCACGGCCTTCATCTCCACCTGGGCCCTGGCAAAGGCCTCCTCGATGGCCCGGTTCTTGTCCTCCTCCAGGCACTGCATCTCCTCCAGCATCTGCCCGTGCGCCCGTTCCAGCTCCGACTCGTACATGGCGATCTGGCGGCCAAGGCCAGAGAGCAGCTCAACTCAGGGGCTTGGGAAGGAGGGGGCAGGTGCAGCTACTGCCCTGCACTGGCCCAGCCCCAACTTGGCACATAACAGGGGCACAAGCCCCAGGAGAGCAGGCAGCCTGCTGGCTTGACACTGACCACAGCACCTTGCAAGAGCGTGTGTGCTGGGCTGTGAGAACAGCCTCCTGTGAGTCTGCCCCTGGGCCCTGCTGCATGGTGGGCTCTGTGGTCATGTCATTGTACAGATGAGGGAAGGGAGACAAACTGACCCTCGATCACACAGTCAGTGGGAGGAGGAGGGACCAGAGCCTGGGTCTGCTGCACTGTATTAAAGGCTGGCCTCGGCACCCCCTCCCCAGGCCTGCACTGACAGCCACCCCCGCCCCGACGCGGCCGCCACACCTGCGCCCGGAGCTGTGTGGTCAGCTGGTGTGAGCTCTGTAGCTGCTGCTCCATCTCCTTCAGCACCTGCCTCTGCATGGCCACCTGCTCCTGCAGGTGCTGGTTCCGGGTCTGGGACTCGCTGAGGGCCTGCTTGGTCTTGGACGACTCCACCTCCACCGTCCTGATGACATACTGAGAGGCGAGAGACGGGAGGGTGCATGGAGATGCAGGGCACCTCAGCCTCACTCTGGGGCCCTGAGACGTAACTGACCTGGGGAGGGGACCCTCAGGGACATCCCACCAAGAGCCTGGAAAAAGCTAGAGATGCCATGAGGTCCTGGCTATCCAGAATGCTGCAAGGGCCTCCTGCAATCTTCTCGTCTTAATGAGCCCATTGTGAGCCTGGCTGTGGCCCCAGCCGAGGCACAGGACAGACAGACAAGCAAAGATGAGGGCAGAATGGAGCGATGCCCTATGTCCGTGCCTGGCCCACAGCGGGCACATCAAGCACCGGTTGCCATAGGCCTATCATGCACCTTCCTGGCCCTGGACAGCGAGGAGTGAAGGGCCGGAAACAGACTGAGCACAGAGCTGGAACTCGGCCTTCAACCACTCACACCCGCTTCCACGTGCCAGCCCTGCCCTAGGGACCTGTGGCCGAGCGCTGAGGCACAGTCCAGGCTTGCACGGGCCGCCAGACCGCAGCTCACCTTGACGGGCGGCGACTGGGCCCGCAGGCTGGCGATGGTCTCGTGGCTGTCACGCAGGCGCCGGCTGAGCCGCTCCTCCTCCTGAGCCTTCTCGGCCAGGCAGTCCTTGAGCCGCAGCTCCACCTCGGCCAGCCGGTCGGTCTTCTGCTGCACCTCCAGGTTCAGCTCTGACAGCATGCTTTTGTTCTCTGCCACCTCCAGCTGGAGCTGTGACAGCTTCTCCCGGAGCTGGGCGCTCTCCTGCAGACAGGGGACGGGGACAAGGCCAGGACAGGTGTGAGGTGGGCAGACAGACAGGCAGACAAGCAGGCGGGGGTCACTGTGAGGAGCTGGGGTCCCCGTGAGGAATGCATGCGGCCCTCTGGGACCACTCGGCCCTGTGCTCACCTGGCTGTGCTCGCAGCCCGTGCAGGGGGCCCCCGGCTTTGCACGCAGCTCCTGGAGCTCAGCCTCGCAACGCCGCATCTCCTGCCTCAGTCGCTCATTCTCCACCATCAGCAGGTCCCGGTGCTTCTCCAAGTCCGTGCCTCCCTGCCGAGTCAGCCCAGGGGGGCATGTGGCCAGGGCAGATCAGGGGAAGCGAGGAGGGTGTGGGGCAGAGGAGGTGCAAGGGCAGGGGAGAGCGGGGAAAGGCGGGAGAAAGACAGAGAGGAAGAGAAAACAAAAAGGAGGGCAAGCAAGGGAAAAGAGAGAGAAGGGGCTCAAGAGAGAAATAAGGATGAGGACAGGAGAGAAAGATCAGGAAGGGTGGTGAGGCAGACACAGCTCCCAGCAGCACCCCACCCCTTTCATTCTATTTTCCCGAGTGTGAAAGTAGCAAGAGAAGTCATATTTATACAGGGTTCACACTCCTTTTTTACTTTAGCAAAGGCGCATTCACCTCCCGCCCCTTGGGAGTCACATGACCTCTGAGGACCTAGTGACGGGTGTTAAGTCCTCCAGAAGCATTTCCCAAACAGGATGCAGCCCCCATGTGGGCGGCACAGGTCACACCCCTTGTCGGGAGGGGGCCCGTCTGCACCGGGCCCCATCAACCCCCACCCCGCGCCTGCGCACACGTAGGATGCCCAGTTGGCCTCACCAGCTCTGATCGGAGGCGGCTCACTTCCTGCGCTTGGCCAATGAGCTTCTCCTTGAGGTTCTCTACCTGCCGGCACAAAGCCAGGGTCACCTGGAGCCTTGCTCCTCACCTCCAGCCCACACCCAGGCCTCAGTCCCAGCCCTCCCTGTGTTGGAGCGGCAGGCCACACCTGGGACTCCTGGTGAGCAACACCCAGCCTGGTCCTGACAGCCTTCAGCACCCTCTCCCACCGCAGGACCCAGTCAGCCTGGGCTCTCGGGAGAGTCTGGGGGCAACGCAGCAGAAGTGACCCCCGCGCCACCTGGGGCTCAGGCCACAGGCAGCTTACCAGGAGACACAGGCCCCTGCCAAGGCCTGGACCTACTTTCATATTTGTAACTTTATATTCTTTTTTCTTAAAGGGGCCCCAGGCTGTATAAACTATAGACACTCTAAAACCTGGATCTGTCTTTGCCCAGCCCCTAGAATGTTCCACTTTGAGCAGTTCCTGGTGAGGCCGCCTGTGGGGACGGGTCTGTCAGTGACGGGGGTGCATCTGGGACCCATGCCCATCCCAGCTCCCAGTCTGCCTTGCAGGAGAGCTGTGGCCAGGTGAGGCTGTTAGCAAGAGAAGGGGGTCTGTGCCCCATCGGGAGGCAAAAGTGACTGGCTCAGCTGGAGGCCCAGGCAGGGAAACCAAACCCCCACCCCCACTCTTCCTGAGAGCGGATCCCAGGATGGGACCCTTCCTTGGGCTGTCCTCTTGCTGGTTCTGCATTGGGAACCTCTCCTTAGAAAAGAACCCAAAACGCAGACGAAGGCGCCGGCCCAGCCCAGGCATGTCTGCCAGTGTCCTTGCAGATCGGTGTGTGACGGCCGCTCCGCACCTCGGGAAAGGAGCAGCGGGAGCCGGACTCTCTCCTTGGAGGCTTAGGAGCTGCGGTTTACACAGCAGGCCACAATGCACTGGGTTCTTATTCTAAACGACGGGTGACCAAGTCAACTGCCCCCGGGGGCCGGCCAGCCAAGGCAGGTGAGGGGCAGTACAGGACTGGACACCCAAGACATACCTGAAGGAGGCAGCCACCATGTGCCCCCTGCAGCCAGGGGGACACAGGCTCCGTGTCGCCAACCTTCTGACCTTTTGGGAGAGGCCAGACATTGGGATTTCGTGTGCGTGTGTGTGCGTGCGTGTGCATGGGTGTGTGACATCTCCCAAGACGGCTGGGCAGCCATCAACCATGTGTGGGCAGGCAGACTTCCAGGCAGGAGACGGCGGCTGAGCCACAGGTCGAGCCCCTGCCTTTCTGGGCCGGCTGGGGGAGGAAGCCGGCCATGGGCTCCACTGGACCTCTAGGTGAAGGCCACGACACCAGCCCATGCACTCACGGTTGGGGATGAGGAGTCCCAGACCCAGGCCCAGAGAGGGGCTGGGAGGCCTGACCAGGCTGCCCAAGTCCTCCTGGTGGACAAGCAGGTGACCTAAGGGCACAGCCCGGTGACCACAGCACCAGGGTGGTCCCAGTGGGCTGCATTCCTAGCAGCCCTCCAAGCAGTGGGCTGGGCCACGGACCACACAGGTGGGGAGAGCTCGGGCCGCCTCACTGCACACTCCCAATACCCCCTCCTGTTGAGAGCCTGGTGGCAGGGTGCTCAGTTCTCTGGCCCCAGAGGGGCGGAGGGACCATTTGCACAGGGCAGTGTTGCATTCCTTAGCCGTGGAACTGGTAACCGCCTGAACTCCCAGCCTTACGGGAGGGCCCAGTACATGGCGCAGGCGCAAACACAGATGATCGAGCACTCATCCCTTGTGTTCATCGGGAGTTTTAAATGACATGGGGCAGGGCCCCCCAACACAGCGAGTCAGACAAAACCCCGAAAACAAAACTCTGTGAGCAGTACTAAAGGGTAGAGGTCTCTGAACCATGACACATTTGACAAATTCTTTATGCTTTTCACTAACTCTTGAGTCTCAGAGAATATGTATTCTTCTCTCTCTCCCTTCACCCTGAAATAGATGGGTCTACCTGCTTTTAAAAGGTTGGGGTCCCCTCACCCCATTGCCTTACCCTAGAAATCACCCCAGAGCTGTCCATGAGCACAGAACTGGCGCCCCAGACAGACTGTGGTCTCCGGGCTGAACGCTCTGACGTCCCTTGTCCCCAGCTGGCTGCCTGGCCCTCAGCCCCTGATGCAAAGTGGGCTTTTCCAGTGTTTACCTGGGGGGTGGGGATGCCCACCTGCCACCTGCCTGCAGCCCCGGCTCCTGCTACCTTCTTGCATCACAATTGGAGCCCTGGGTGCTCTCGGGTTCTACCTGGAACCCTGTGATGCTCCAAAAGGATGTGGCTGTACAGGGGGCAGAGGGCGGGGCTGTGAGAGACCCCTTTGGGCAGAGGTATCAGGCACTCAGTCATACCCCCGCTGGTCCAGGGCAACAGGGGACACGTCTCAACACTGAGGGGGTCAGTCAGGCACAAACACTCCTTTGGGGCTGGGGAATGAGCACCTGTGCTGCCCAGGAGTGGGACCCTTGTCCCTTGCCCAGAGGGGTCTGCTTCAGGAGGGCCTGCGGGGAAGATGCCTCAGGGTTAGGAAAGCAATGAGTGAAAAGAGAGACAAAGAGAGGCACCCGAGGAGCCGGCAGACAGGCTCAGGGGAGTGAGGGCAGAGAGTGGGGGGCTGAGGGTGACCCTTACCAGACTGGAGGGACTCCCCGAGAGGGAGCCCCTGTAAGCAGCCCCTCCACGCACCCCCCACAGCTCTGCATCAGCGACAGTGCCTGCATCTGTAGGCCAAGAGGGGAAGGAGTCTCTCTATTGCTCATCACGCACCCCTGCCCCAGCAGGTGGAGGGCACACGGCAGATACTCAGTAAGGGCTTCAAGCACCAGCAAAGGCGCACCCCGAGGGCAAAGCTGGCTCCTGACAGGCTGCTGTGATGGGCTGCGAGACAGCTCCGTGTCAGCCCCAGGGTTAAGGAGGGGACCAGGCCCAAGCCCAGGCTCCCCATCAGCCGGACAAGTTGAGCCAGGAGCCTGGTACAGAGGGGCCTTGCAGGAGCAGGGACCCTGGGGCCCGACATTTGTATCTCTTGGTGGAAGCGGTTGTGCAGAGGGCGGCACTGCCCTGCGCAGGCCTGTTTTGTCAATGCAGACAACCTGCCGTCCTCCTGCCGTGCCGGCCCACAGGCAGAGTGTCCCACGGGAACAGAGGCCTCTCCTGGGGTGAGAAGGAAGCCTTACTAGGCTGGGGAAGCCAGAGGGCCTGGGACCCATTGGGCCTCAAGGAAACAGCCCCCAAACCAGAGGGGCAGCCCCAGGGAGCACCCCACCCTGTCCTGAACTCACCCCACTTCCGGAGACCTGACTCCTGGCTCCGTGACCACTGACCTGACCTGGCCAGGCCCATCCGGCCCGGCCCCCACTGCCAAGCTTCTATAGTCAAGTCCTGCCACCAAGGGGCAGCTGGAAAACACACTCCCCGGCCAGAGTGCCCCGGCTGTAATGCAGACGTCGCCCTGCCCACCGCATAACTTTGAACAAGCCTCCACTTCGCCGCCCCTTGGTTTCCACACCTGTATAACGGGGCCACGGCTCCAGAGGGTGGGGCGCTTAGAGCCACCAGAACGTCACCTGGGGCTGCTGTTGCTGCCAACGTCAGGGGAAGTCATCCAGACTAGCCACAGCCTCCCTTGGTGACCAGACCAAGACCAGCGGCCTCTGTGGCCTGGATCAGCCGGTGCTCAAGGACAGAGAAGGTGACCTTTGGCCTGAGTGCTCCCCGCAAGGAGCACACTAAGCTCCCCGCAAAACAAACATCTCCATCAGACACATAACCAGCAGGAGGCTGGAAAGTCACAAGCAGCCCTCGGGAGCCCAGGGGGAGACAAAGGTCACAGCAGCCCCAGTCACTGAGTCGGCCTCAACCATGGGCAAGGGTGTTCCATCAGGTCGACACTTTGAACCCCCACTCCTTTGAGGTGCATACTATTATTATCCCCATTTTACCGGAAGAAAAACTGAGGTTCCAAGAGATTGAACTAAGCCTTGATTAAGCAACTTGCTCAAGGTCACCTGACCGCTAGGTGGCGGACCGAAGAATGTAACTCGGGGCCCCCCAGCAGGAACCCGCACAGAGTGCTGCCTCTTAACCACTCTTACCACTGCCTTTCGGGAGGGCAGCCCCATTCAGGAGGTGAGTCTGGACAAGGCTGAGAACAAGGCACGGAGAGAACAAGGTGGAGAGTATCTCATGGTGAGCTTTTCCTTAGAGCACCAACGTTGAGAAGACCAGGAAGGTCAATGTCAAACCACGGCGAGGCTGACAGGGGACGGGAGCAGTCAGGAGTGGCCCTCACGAGGTATCACACTTTACAGTTTGCTATCCCTCTCTCTGTCCAGGCTCCCAGCGGATTGTAACCACAAAGCAAACACTTGTGGGCCCCAGGTTAGAGACTGGGAATTGCAGCCCCAGACAGGAAGGGACTTCCTGTGGCTGCCCAGCCAGCGAGCAGCAAAGCCAGGACCAGAGTCCCGCCCCCGTGACTCCCAATCCGAAACCCTCCCCGTAACGATGGCGCTGATGGCAGTGCCGCCCGTAGGTAGCCCTGGATCTTCTCAGTGGGTCCCACACGGTGCAGATGAGGAAACTGTGGTGCAGAGCGACCACGAGCCAGCCCAAGGCCACACCACTGACAAGTAGTGCCGAAGTCGGGATCTGAACCCGCCTCCAGGGTAGGACCCCCGGGTGGTGGTGACGCTGGTGCTGCAGCCCAGGTGCATCCGCCGAGAAACTGTCCGGAAAGAGCCGGCTCTCGGGACGTCTGAGGATAAACCGAGGTGAGCAAAGACCGGGCACTGCTCCAAATTCTCCAGGTCGGCCGGGGCCAGGGGGCAGGGGCGGGGAGGGGGAGTCGGGGGCTCAGGGACACCAGGAAGGCTTTGATGCTTCCCCTTCAGCTTCTCCTCTAAGAAGCAGATTGGGCGAACCAAGGGGAAAAATGGTTTTTTTAAAAACTTATTCAAAAATCACAAAAGGCCACGTGATATTATGATTTCATTTACATGAAATGTTCCCAAAAAGACAAATCCATAAAACAGAAAGCAGATCAGCGGCTGCCAGGAGCTGGGGGTGTGGGGTGGGGGTGACTTAATAGATCTTTCTGGGATGATGAAAATATTCCACAATTAGCCAGTGGCGGTGGTGAAGTCACCACCTGACTACACTTGAACCACTAAGCCGCATACCCTTAAAGGGGTGGATTTTATGGTTAGTGAGTTATATCTCAGTAAAGCTCTTTAAAAACAAAGCAGCGTGTTGGGACAGTGAGGAGCCTGGATGGCCTGGCCTGGGGCAGGTCAGGGAAGGCAGAGCTGCGGAGGCTGGCGGAGGGCCTGACGGGTGTCCCAGGGTGTGTCCTGCAGGCCGGGCCGAGACGGCCCCACTGCCCCGCAGGCAGTGCCCCTCGCCGCGCCCCAGCTACCCAGGCTTTGGTTCCGCCTTCAGACAGTCGGCCCTCCGCATCCTCGGGTTTCACATCCTGGGATTCGACCGACCTCAGTTTAAAAATATTGAGAAATAGCGCTGGCTGGCGTAGCTCAGTGGATTGAGCGCCGGCCTTTGAACCAACAGGTCACCGGTTCCATTCCCAGTCAGGGCACATGCCTGGGTTGCAGACTGGGTTCCCCAGGAGGGGGCGTGCAAGAGGCAACCACACATTGATGTTTCTTTCCCTCTCTTTCTCCCTTCCTCTCTCTAAAAAAAATAATAAATAAAATATTTAAAATAATAATAATAAAATATTGGGAAATGAAAATCTAGAAAGTTGACCCCTAAATGCTACAGTGTAAAACTATTCATGCAGCATTTGAGTCAGGCACTCTGATCCAGAGGTGATTTAAAGTCTGTGAGAAGAAGGGTGTAGGATCTGCGCTAATACTAAGCCATTTCCTAAATGCTCAAGTTCCTAAAAGGGACTTGAGCATCTGAGGACTGGGCGTCCCCAGGGTGGGGGGTCCTGGAACCAAGCCCGTTAGATACCAAATGCACTCACTCGTCTTGCTGCCCGGCCACAGTCCCTTTGCACGGACTCGTTCCCTCGGTGCAGAGCACATTTCCTCTGTTCTGTGCCAGGCCACAGTTCCAGTGTCACCTTCTCAAGGCAGCCACCCCTGACCTCCCCAGCGGGTCCTGACCTCCCGGACAAAGCTCCTGGTACGGCCCCCACGCCATGAACGCATGCCCACCCTGTACACGTGCCCACCCTCAGAAGCCCTCTGCACTTCCGCTGGCATGGGTGCGTGTAACCAGCATATGTCCTCCCGCAGACCAAAGCCGCACAGGCGAGGGCGCACCCGTCTCCCTGGGCACCCCCAGCACCGAGCTCGGTGACAGTACCTCCTGGGCAGCCAGCCAACACCTGAGGGAGGGAGGCAGGTGGGCACCGCAGGAGCCAGCGGCAGTGCAGGGCGTGTCACGCCTGCCTGGAGCAGCCCCTGTTCGTGGGGCAGACGGGCCCAGAGGCAGCAAACAGCAGAGTCTGCATACACGAGGGAGACACAGGCACCCAAGAAGGGCCACCCGACTCAGCGAGGGACTGGTCATGGTCAGGACACACAGTTCTTGAGAAAAGGACACACCCCTAAGCTGGAAAACATGCTGCCTTTAGGAAGTACGTAAAGAGACTACTGCCCCCAGGACTGAGCGCAAGTCACAGTATCCAGTGATGGCCGGTGAAGAGAAGGGCCATGTGCTGCGTGCCCCCTGGGAAAGAACCTGGCTCCACCCGGAAGCGGTGCTTTCCACAGGGCAGACCGGGATCCAATGCAGTGATGATGGGGCAGATGGGGTTGGGGCCTCGGCAGGTGGGGAGGGCCAGACACAGGCACAAAAGACGGACAGGACGACAGGAGTGGGGAGCTGAGCCCGAGGGAAGGGGCCCTGCGGCCCAAGTGTGAGAGTGAAGAGGATAAAGCAAGGGCTGAGAGTCCCCAGGTGTCCTCCTGGCCAGCAAAGGCAGGAGACGATGCTCATGGCATAAACTGTCAGCTCTCCCTGCCCCTCAGAGGCTGGAGAGCGCCCTCCTCCCAGGTGCACTCACGCTGGCCTCCCCCTGCCTGCCCGTTTTATGTGGGATGACCTCTGCAATGACTTTGGTCCCCTCGGGCTACCAAGCAGACCGGGTGGACTCAGGGCAGGCAGCATCCCTGCCCCTTCCTGCTCCTCTCACGTCTATACGCACTGCCGGACACTCTGGAGCGGCAGTCCCAGCCCCTGGGAACTATGAGGAATGGGGCACAGGGTGACCAGGATGGGAGGGCCAGGACTCTTGCCACCTCGCCCTCTTGTGCACTCCTGAGCCAGGAGAGAAGACCCCAGCTGTCCATTATGCCAGCGGCCTGGTGGGTTCCAGGTGACCCAGCCAACGTCCTCCAACCTGCTCCGTGGTGGGAAGTGGCCTCTGCCCCTCCCACTCTCCCCAGGTACCTGGTTCTGCAGGTGGGTGGGTGTGGTTTGCGGGTCACTGTCCTGGAGGGCCAGCCGCTCCCGTAGGGCCGCCAGCTCCTGCAGCCGGGCTTTCTCCTCCTGCAGCTGGGACATGGCCTCCACCATCTTATGCACCATGGGGACTGCACCTGGGGACCCCGACAGGCTCGGGCACCTCCCGCTGCCAAATAGCAGCCCACCTATGAGCGAAGTAGGGGCCGATCAGCAGGGCAGCAGGGGAGCCACCCTGGCTGAGGAGAGGGGCCCGCCATGGCAGGGCCGACCAGACCCTCGGGGCGAGAGAGGCGACGGGGCAGGGTGAGGGCTGGGGGGCAGCAGCGTGGGGGAGCCACAGGACTCCAGGGCCTGCCTCGGAGGAAGTCACTTCTGCAGGGCAGCTTCTTGGGGACAGAACTGCCTGAGTCAGGACCCAGGAAAGCAGCTTTCCTGAACACTCCCTTCGGAGCACCGGTTCTAGGTCTGGTGGGCGGTACCCTCTCTGTGGCCAGCCTGCCAGTCACCTCGACTGAGAAAGACAAGCCTTTGGCAGCAGCTGAGGAGTCGGGGTTACCTCCCCGGAAAGCACTGTGCACGGGAGACAGGGGTTCTTTAAACGTCAAGCCCTCTCCGGAGTGGAGAAGAGAGGTGGGGGCTCCGCGGCCTGCCCCGCTCTGCCCTCTGCAGGGACTGGTCACCTGCACACGGGGAGGGAGTGCCAGGGACAGACAGACCCGAATTCAGGCAGGACCACAGACAGGCCCGCTCACGCTCGGGATGAGCACAGGGACTGCCACACAGGCAGGAGGACGCGTTAGTGCCAGGGTGGGCCGACTCCACCTGAGTCCAGCCTCAGCCTTTCACTGTCCTGCCACCAGGAGCAGGAGACAGACAGACCAACGGAAGGACAAAGACAGAGTCAAGGCCCGGGACCCAGGTAGGAGGCTCGTTGGAGCTTGCTTCAAGGGCACCGAGAATGGCCCTGGTCTCTGCAGGTGGGGAGCTGGCTAGGAGCCCTGGAGGGGGGAAAGTGGGGTGGGGTGGGGTCAAAGGGCAAAGTCCCCCGGAGAAAGAAGGAAGTGTCCAAGAGCAAAGCATCTGAGAGGGAAGCAGGGGAGAAGCACCTGCTGGCCCCAAACCTCCACTTGACCTGAGTCCTAGAGCTTCTGGATGCCCACACGAAAGGTCCTGGAGCCACAGCCCTGAGGGCAGGACTGGGGGCCCGGAATCTTCGAAAGAAGCTGCCTGCACCCAAAATCACACACCCCACTGGCAGCTGAGACCCACAAGATGCAGCGAGTGTGCTCACCAGGACTGCAGAGAAGCCACACGGCAGCTTGTGCCGGTGGGGCAGGGTAGAGCGGGGAGGGTGGAGGGGGCAGGTGCCCCGGCGGGGCAGATCCTGTCGGCACCATCCGCGGGAGGGTGGGCAGTGAGGAGTCCCCGCTCCCAACCCCTTGAAACAACTTTGACTCGAAACCCTCTAGAGAGCTGGAGCTGGAGCAGGGGCAGCCATTGGTTGGCTAGTGGCCCTGGCCATGTGGCCTGCATATGACCCAGCTGCATGTCACACACAGCTGGCCAAGCTTCTGCTGCGTTCTAGAGAGTGAGGTCAGACGGATGCTTCCAGGCCTGTCCACGGGGCTGCCACCCGTGGGCAGCATGTGATGGGCACGGCCCTCAGCCCTTTGCAGACTGCCAGCAGGGGGTGGAGAGGGGGGTGCCCTGGGCTCTGGGGAAGAGCTGCTTCTGCCACTGAAGAGCCGTGTGGGAGAGGCCCCTTGGGGTCCGAAAAATGAGGACAACAGTCTGTGCCCTTGGGACAGGAGCCTGGATGCCCTGAGGGATGAGCCAGTGAGAGTGGGTGCTACCCAGCAGACACGGAGTAGCCCGGCTTGTCCAGGTCTTGGCTTGTATCACAGAAGGTTTGGCGACACCCTCAGAGCCCACGCCCCGCGGGGTCCATCCCGACTCAGCACGCTGTCAGTGTGCCGGGGCAGTTCAAGGGCACCTGGAGAGTGCTTGCTGCGGGAGAAGAACCCTGAGGAAGCTGAGGGACAGTGGGAGAGCAAGGGGCACTTGGGGACAAGCTACTGAACCGGCTCTTACACAGAGGAGGCCGCATACCTCCTAGCAGGTCAGTTTCAAAACAGAGCGTGCCTCGGAGACCCTGCCTGGGCACTGCCCCTTGTGGGCCCCGCCCTGGCCCCCTGGACAAAAGTCAGACCTCGCTCTTGACTAGAAGTGGCCTCTCTCCTCTCAGCCAATGAGGAGAAGCCACCTGCCTGGCTGGAGAAGACCCCCCTCCCCAAGGCCTGTCTGCCTGGGGCTTGGCCAGCCCCTGGCACCTGCCACAGCACACCAGACGGCAGGCCCAGACGGGCGACTGCAGCTCTGGTGCGGACTCAGAGGGGGGATTAGAGGCTTCCACCGTGAAGCAAGTGCAGGCCACAAATCAACCTCTGGTGACAGGAGGAGGGAACAAGAGAGAGGCCGAGGCTGTCCTTCCACACCCTCCTCGCCTCCCCGCTGGGCTCCTCCGGGTGCCCCTTCCCAGTTTCGCCAGGCTCAGGCTTCCCTCTGGGGAGTCCCACAAAGCGGGCCCTTAGCATCTTCCAGAGCCAGTCGGCCTTGCCAGAGAAAAGGAGCCACCAGCTCCCCTTTCTCGGCCTCGAAGCAGCAGAGCGAGGCCCTGTCCTAGGGTCTCTGGGTCCCCGCTGGGCCCATGGATACGAGGGGAAGCAGCCAGGCCACTTTCTGCAGACAGTGGCATCTTTCCCCCATCGCCCTGCTTTGGACAGGCGCTGGGGAAAAGACAAAAAGCGGGGAAATTCAACTCCAGCCGGTGCTAGCCAAAGCCTCTTATCGCCGAGTGGGGCCCGGTCGCTCTGGGAGGAGGGTGTGCCAGGAGGGGCGGGCAGGCTGGGGTCTCTGCGTTCCACGTCACAGCACCCAGGATGTGGACGGGCCACCTCCGGGGGAGGAGGACAGTGTGTGGGGACGGCTCAGATGCCCCAGAGGCTGCCCTCCAGCGCCAGCTTCAGTGAGCACCATCCCAGGTCGGCGGGCGGACCTCCTTTACCTGTTTTCTCTACATTCATGGTGCCACCAGCTTCCTGGGCCTCCCGGTCCCGCCCGGGGGCCGGCGCCGGCCTCTTCGGGAGCTTCTCGTCTTTCGTCCCCTGACTCTTGCTCTTGCACCCCTTGTCCTGCAGGGCCTGCTGCCAAGACACAACCAGAGTCCTCACGTGAAGGGCACTGCCGTGGGGAGGGACCCCCGGAATCTGAGGACACTGCATCAGCTCCGAGGGCCATCTCTCACGGTGAGGGTCGGTGGGGACAAGGAGGTCCGGAAAAACACGTGCCCAGCTCCCTACGGCAGGACAGTGGCAGTGTGTTCCCCAGGCCCCATCGGCAGCCGGCCCTCTCCGCCAGCAAGAAAGGTTCCTGGGCACTTAGAGATCCTCAGTAACGCCCGCCCGGCCCTGGGGTGCACAGGACACCAGTGCGGCAGCTCACTCGGCACAGGCCCACAGCCCCGCCGGGCCGGTGGCGATCACAGGGCAACCGTCCCCCCGTGATGTCAATTAGCCCCCACCTCCCAACGGCACCAGCCTGCCAGGGAGGGGGCACGTGGGTCCAGGCAAGCAGAGGAAGGTCACGGCCCACCCCACTGTGGCCTGCTGTGGTCTAGGAGGAGACAGGCGGGCCAGCGGTGAGGAGAAGGGGAGGGACAGAAAGTGGTCCCTGCACAGGGCAGGACCTGCAGCTCGTACTGAAAGCCATCAAGGTAGGAACCTCGCCTCCGGAGCGATCCCATTTGAGGATAAGCAAAATGAAACACACCTCGAAAAATCAATCTGGGAAGTAGAAAGAGAGCGGTTCTCTCTGGGAGGCCCAGTGAGGGGAGAAACATGCATCACCTAAACTTTTTTGAGAATAAAAAAATAAACAGAGAGAAAGTGGGAAGAAAGGAAGGGAGACTTTGCGTTTCATTTTGAACCTGTTGGCATTTGCTTTTTTAACCTTATAAACATCTATAGTTTCTGCTCTGTTTTTTTTAACAAGTTATCTGGGAAGAGAGGCTGCAGGCGTGTTTTGCGTGTCTTCGCGCCGGCCATCATTCCAAAGAGACGCGGGCCGAGGTTTTAAAAACACCTCCAGTCTAGAGTCGGGAAGGCCTGACGGGCTCCCTGCCTCCTGGGAGCTGTGTGGCTCTGGGCAGCTTCCTTCCCTGAAGCTCCATTTTCCCCATTTTTAAAGTTGAAAAGATACTAACCGCCCACCTTACTACAGAGCTGGTGTAAAAGGTAACTGAGGTGATACCCTAACCCGCTACTCAGAGTGTCTGCACCTGTTCAGAGCTCCGTACAAGTAGCATTACGTAATTTCCAGTGTCGTCAGACCTTTCACTTTTATCATCAAAAAGCCGTAACAAGTGCCATCACCAGGCCAGTTAGTTTGCCACCCCTGCCCTTTCTCAACCTCACGTGCTGCTGGGGGGGGGGGGGTGGAGAGCCATCTCTCAAATTTAGGAAAATGCTGCCAAGCTTGCTTTGTCCCCACCCTTTGACCAACTGCCACTCCATCACGAGCAGGCTTGTCCGAGGTGACGGCAACGGCCCGGCAGCTGGAAGTTTCCATTTGCAGGCCAGAGCAAAGGTTACACTATTTCTGGCCTGCGGGCCAAGCCACAGGAAGGGCAGCCGGCCCCCGGGGGGTTGGGAATTTCTACAATGCCTCCGTGGGGACCGGCTCAGGTTTTAGCTGTCTGGGAGGCTGGCGGGGAGGGCCACCATGCCTACAGTCACCTACCCGCGTCTGGGTCCCAACTTGGGCCCCACACCCCCCGACCTCCAAGCACCTACAACACAACGGAACTTCAAGGCACCCAGAAAGACGTGGTTATGGAACCAGGGCTGCTGCCCAGAGCACCTCGAGGCTCCGGGCAGATCTGCTGACCCTGGGACTTGGCTGCAGCCACAACCCAGCACCCCGTAATCAAGACTCAAGAACAGAGCCACCGCCCCGCTCCGAGCAGCCAGTTTCTGACCACCGCCCGACGAAACTACCAGTGGCTCGAGTCAGAGAGAAAAAAAAGGCTTCTCTGGTTTCTTTAACTGTTCTCGCACCAGACCGGCTTTTTCCCAGAACTGACTGATGGCAGGCCGTTCGGTTCAGTTTTCAGATGGACCACAGAAAAAGGATGAAAAAACACCTCGAAGCCCAAGACTGTCTCTGACGCAGCATCACGCTCCGGGCCCACGTTCAGATCAAGACCTGGAGCCAGACGCCACCCAGAACCAGGCCTTCTGTCTGCACGAAGGAGGACGAGCTCAAAGGGCACGTGCGTTTCCCACACCCCATTCCGCCCTCCATTTGCACATGGGCCTTCAAGGTGGGCCCCCTAGTGCACGACCTTTCTTGGCAAGGGGGCTTGCCCGCACACCCAGATAACTCTGCTCCCTCGTTCTCCACCTCTGGGTCCGCGGCCCTTGCCCATTCACACCCCCACATCTGCGATCATCTGATTCCTCTGCGGCACCCCCATCAGACTTTCAGGTCTGGGTCTCTTCTCTGCTGCACGTCAGCACCTAGCACGACACCTGGCACTGCACCTGGCACAGACCGAGCGCTCCACAAGTACAGGTCAGCAGAGGCACGCACTGACAAAGTGCAGAAGCCGTGTGTCCTAAATTAGTCGACACTGTAGCTGCACGAATGTATAGACTTTAAGGAGCTCACCGCAATCAGAACTAATACAGAGGGTCAGTTAGAAAACTCACGGTAAACCCCAAAGTGGAATGTTAGGCGGCGGTTTAAAAGAACGAGGCGGTTGTCTACATACTGATGTGCACGAAGAAAGTACTGAGATTTACTGTTGCGGGAAAGAGCTAGCCACAGACCAGTATGTGAGAATAAATTATTTAAAAATGTATACATATCATTAAGTGGTTATATAGGAAAGATAAACACTAAACTCTGAATACTGGATTTCTCAGACCTAGCTGGTGTGGCTCAGTGGATTCAGCGCCAGCCTGAAGGGTCACAGGTTTGATTCCCAGTCAGGACACATGCCTGGGTTGAGGGCCAGGTCCCCAGCAGGTGGCGTGTGAGAGGCAACCACACAATGATGTTTCTCTCTTTCTCCCTGCCTTCCCCTCTAAAAATAAATAAATAAAATCTTTTTAAAACAGTGAATAGTGGGTTTCTCAACGATTCAGGACTACAGGAGGCATTTAGTTTCTAGGTATTACATTTCTGCCCTGTGCAAATTCTTTACATCACACGTTACAAAGCTTGTCACATTCAGCGGTTCAGATCCCAGCTTGCTGTGTGACCAGTAGCAAGTTACTTAACCTCTCTGAACCTCCATGACTTCATCCACAAAACTGAGATAAAATAGTTACTGTATCTTGAGACAGTTAGGAGGACTGGTATGAGATATATAATACATGGTACAGCGCCTGGCACCAAGTCAGTGCTCAATAAATAGCAGCTATTCTTACTGCTCTCATTCTGTATTGTTTCTACAATGAAATATATATGTCAAGTTTGTCTTTTGAAAGTCCCTTGGTGACAATGGCACGAGAGAAGGCCCCGAGTTTTGGCGAAGCCCCCTGTCCAGCTTCAGGTGCCCGCTCTAAAGGAGCAAATGCAGGTATTGTCCTGTGGTCTCCCATGTCCGAGTGGGAATCGGCTGCCACCCGAAAACCTCCCTGCCTTCCTAACAGCTTCTCGGAGAAGGCCCGCAGTTCCCACCTTATCCCCCCCCCCCCAGCCAGGGTGTGGCTGAAAAGCTTCGGTCGCCTCCTGAGATTTTCCCCGAGATAACCTAATAAAGCAAATTGCTCCATCTATACAGGCACGTGGGCAGATGTGCTGCGAGGAGCTTGGCAAAGAGGCACAAGGCAGGTCCCTGGCTCTCCCTCCACTTTTTCCTTCCACCCAGAAGCCTGTAGGGATCCAGTTGATGAAGCTCAGAGAGACCAGGCACGCCTGCCTGGCTGGACCGGTCCCGTGTTAGAAGCCCCCAGGGCTTACCTGCACACTCAGGTAGAGCCTGCGGGGGCTGCCCGGGCCGGCACGGTCCACGCTGAGGGCTCGGCACTGGGTTAGGGTCGGGCGAGCCACACTTCGGGCACCAGAGTCCTCATCACCGCCAGCTGGAGTGTCTTTTCCACGCCCTGTCCCAGGACAGAAAGATAGGTGAGGCGCTCCAGCTGCTGGTCACGGGCCGCTGGGCAGGGCCGCGGCTGAGCTCGGCTTGCACACACTCCGGCCAACCCAGGGGCGGTGAGGAGGGATGCACATGCTCTCACACGCCTGCCCTGCACGGAGGGAAGCCTGGCACTGGGCAGGGGCTGAGCTCTCTTCTTACCAAAAGCCATTCCAAGGTTCTCAGCGGGAGGGCACCCAAGACCCTCCCGGGCTCCCCTCCCTCCACCGTGGCTTTGGAACTCACACTTGCTCATGAGCGCCCTCTGCAGAAAGCCACAGAGGAAACCTTGCCAAGCTGGCTGTGCTAATTAATCATCCGAGGTGAGCCCTAGGGCCACAGCTTTATTTCCCTGGCTGCCTCTAGGTGGCAACTTCTCCCCTGCCTTCATTAAGGCCAACCCCACACTGGGTGGCCTGGTCCCTTCAACCTCCGAAAGCACGCTTGGGACCGACTAGCTAAAGAGCATCCCTCGGGCCTCCAACACGTCGCCTGTCTCACCGGATGGGGGAGAGGGCTAACTGGCATCCACACCCCTCTACCCCGCCTCAACCCCCACCACAGCCTGCAGGGCCACCGGGGTGGGAGGGGGCCCGCCTCACAGGGCAAACATCACCGCCCTGGGCTGTGATAAGATGTATCCTGAATGCCAGCCAGGGCCCAAGTGCTTTCCAGGCCTTACTACCCCCCTGGATCCTCTGTTTTCTTGTCAATGAAATGCGATAAGGAACCAAACTCAAGTCCTGTGGTGAGGACAAAAATATATGACCCACACAAAGTGCTCACACAGTGCCAGGCCCCCAGGAAGGTGGGGGCCCACGGTCAACCAAGTTGGCAGAGACTCTACCCAGTGGCAGGCACTGTGCGTAGCTTTCCACACACCGGATTTCACTTGACCTTTGTCTCAAAGTCTGAAAGTGGGTAAAAGCCTGTGTAGGCACAGAATCCTCCTAACGCTCATCTGACAGACCTACATGGGCACATGCATGCACACACACACGCGTGCACACACGCACACATGCACACAAGACTGGGAGGGACAATCTACGATGTTTAGTGACGAGCTCACACTGGCGTCATTTCACTGTGCTCCACAGAGTCTGTGCTTTTTACAAATTGAAGGCAAGACCCTCCACCAGCAAAAAGACGAAGACTCGCTGTATGGCAAGTCTCCTTGTTGAGGTGGTCTGGAACCAAACCCGCAATCTCTCCAAGGTGTGCCTATTTTTATTTTTTTATACTTTGGAGTTTTTGTTTTTTAGTTTTTCAAGGGCACATGTGTTTTGCTTCTTGTTGTTGTTGGGGTTTTTTAAACCAGAAAAGCAATACTTGTTCCAATTCCATTTGTAACCCTCAGGACAATCTTGTGGGGTAGAGGCCGGCTTCAGCCCCTTCCAGACGATGGGGGTTACCCGACCTCAAAGCTTTCCCTGGAGGTCCCCAGGGTCATCCCAGTCTCACTGTCTCCCCCCCCCGCCCCAGAGAGACCTTGGAGGGTATCACTCTGGCTGCTACTAACAGCACAAATGTGCTGGGAGAGAGGGAGCCAAAGAGGAGTTTGCTGCGTGCCCTTCCCAGGCCTCAGTTTCCCCTTCTTTCCATGCGCAGTCCTGGACCCGAAGGCCAGAAAGGATTCTGCTGGCTCAGACAGGCTGGCGATCCAACCCTTTCCCTACAGATCCAACCCTTTTCCCAGACAGCAAACACCGGAAGGCATCTTGCCTGAAGACACCGCTCTCCCCTGACACTTCCAGGAAGGCCTGCCCAAGCCAAACTTGGGAGAGAGGGTCAAGGGCAGCTCCCCAGCCCTGGCAATCCAGACAATCCAGCCCCAACCCAGAATCAGAGTTGCTGCTCACTTCTTGACGTGGGAGGCACCAGGGACATGACCCAGAAAGGAGAGCTGGTGTTGACAGTTCCCCCAGGGGGGCAGCGGGGGACCCAGACTCGGAATTCCTTCCCTACCCAACTGCTGTTGGGGGGCACCAAGTAACACCACCTGAATGGCGCCAAAAACTGAGCGCAGGGCACCCAAACCCGGCCAGGGCCCCGCTCCGGAGCAGCCTCAGTCCACTCCTCCCGCCATCCCCGGGCCAGCCCAGGCAGGATCAAGTGTCAGCGGCGCGCAGGGAGCCGGGCAGCCACCTCACCTACCTTGTTTACCAGCCGCGGGCAGGAACCGGAGGGAGACCCTGAGCGCTCCGCCGAGGACCGGTGGACCGCAGAGCTACCCCGACCTGGCCCCTGGCCGGGCCGGGAACGCGTGGCAGTTGGCAGCGCTCTGCCCCTGCTCTCGGGCTGCGTTAAAGTGTAACTCGGCGCCCGTGACTTCTCGGCACAGGCAGCGCAGGGCAGCAGCCGCGGCGAGATTGACGCCCCGACTCTGCGCCAGGCTCGGCTCGCCGGCTGCCGGACCCTGTAATTTACCTGACAGCTCTGACTGTGCCTAGGAACTTGCGAGAAACCTCGCTCTCATCTCTAGTATCTGGAGGAAGGAAGGGAAATAAAGAGGCATTTTAAAAATGCGGACTCACCAGTTCTCAACCTCCCTGGGCCGGTGTGTGGGAAAGGGCGGGAGGCCGGGCTGGCTGGGGCGGGGCGAGCCATCCCCGGCTCGGGCTCCGGGGCCCGGCCCACTCTCCACAGGCCGCGCAGCGAGGGCGTGGCTCCCAGGTTCCAGGTCCGGCGAGACTGGACCATGGCCCGGGGCTCGGCAGCCTCCTCCGGGCCCCTGGCAGCCTGCAGAGACAGCAAGGGGAGACGAGATTGAAGACGGCTGGTCTGGCCGGAGTCCGGACCTGGAGGATCTGCGCTAACTCCCATGTCCCCCAAGGGCTCACAGGGAAAAACGGGCTGGTCACCATTTGGGGCAGGGAGGCTCAGAAGGGGGTGAGGAGCCCATGGGGTGTGTCTGCAGCACAGTGTGGAGATCCCACTCTCGACCCCTCCACTCGGAGACTGGCAGTTGAAGACTGGCCCGCCAACAGCCTCACTCAGAGGAAGCATGAGTCAAAGGCATCTCTGCAAATCTAATCAGAAGGGACCCTGATGGTTGCCAGTGACCAGTTAGGTTTGTATATCAAATTCTCTGCAAGTCAGCTCATTCACATATTCAAACTACAACACAGCAGGCAAGGAGTTGAGATACAAAGATTCATTCATTCTTCATTTAATTATTATTTATTGAGTGCCTGCTGTGTGCCAAGCACCTGCCAGGAGTCCTCTTTGATCAGGAGAAACAGGGCCTCAAAGCTCCCTGTGGGGAGGAAGGTAAACACTTCAACAAACCTCCACCGTCACCCCAGGCTGCAGGAGGCCCCAGAGCTCTGGGAGAATGGGGGTGGGGGTGGGGGGCAGAGCGCAGGTAGAAAGCCCCACAGATCCCGGATAAACCGAGCAAATGAACAGAACAGATTTCCCGCGTTCACTGCACAAATTTTTATTGAGCACGTATTGTGTGCAAAGCAGCCTTGAGGGCATTTGAGGTGACCAAGCTAGAGTCCCAGAGTTAGGGACTCTTGGCGTCCATAGTGACACCATGTACCGGAAAAAGCCTAGTGAGCCCAGAGAGGCAATGTGGAGTTTGCTGCTGGTTTTAAAGTGGAGTTGGAAGCATGCAAGGACTTCTTACTGGTTCTACGTGGGTTGAAGACCACTTTCCCCGCCTGTCACTGAACTGACTGCTTTCTACCAGGCAGCGAAGGCATCTATCTGAACAGTGTCCTTCTCTCCTGATCCTCTGTGGCTTGCTGCCCAAGGGAGAGCTTGCAGCCCCACAGCACCCAGCCCGGAGCTACAGCTACATCCACACCAAATATTCAGCCGTGGCTTCTTGGCTGAACGCCCTGACATAAGCGAACACAAAGGCCCGGACAGAAGCTTGGAAGAGAGCAGGACTGAATATGGAGACTCAGGGTCATGCAAACAAGCAGGCAACCAGGGTGGGAAGAATCGGCTCCAGGTGGGAGGACAACTGGACAAGGGAGGTGGCAGGAGCACCAGGCAGGTGCAGAGTGCTCAGCAGGGACCCGTGAGTAGGAAGGAGAGGATGGTCACTTCCCAGTGAACCATGCCATGGAGAGGGCGAACTGGACGGGAGCCCCTGGGGCACCTCTAAGGGACAGCGTCTGTGGAGCAGGACGGAGGGCAAACCAAGGGGTGGGCAGGGGCTTCAGAAGCCACCACTTCCTTCTCAAGGAGAGGCTGCATTGAGAGCATGTGGTACTGAGGGGCCACTGGGACATGTTAGGTCGCAGAGGGGCAGGAATGATGGAAGCATCAAGAGAAAAAAGGAAATAAGAGTGCAGGGACAGGTGGCCCCAAGACATGGTGACTGATGTTCGCAGAGCTGAACCCTGGAAGAATGCCAGGCTCCTGACTAGGGACTCGTGGTCCCTGCCTTCCTTGACTGAGGGAGACAGCTTGCAGGAGGGGGCTCCCAGGTGCAGTCTCACTGGGGGTGGGGGCAGGACTGGCCCCAGGACGGGGTGGAGACTAACCTAACTGTGCAGGCCGGCTCCACTGAGGAACTGGAGGCCGGGGCGGGCGGAGTAGGCAGCCAGACAGCCTCTTCTCCAGGCTGCTTGGCATGGGGCTGGGCACACAAGCAACCCTAATGCCCAGCTACCCGATGGGCAAGGAGGGAGAGAGACGGGCTCCATCTGCATGCTGAACAGGGCGTTGAATGTCAATTCCAAGGTTGAGGTAAAAGAGTTTTAAGGAGATCAGCTAAGTCTGAGGGGCAGGGACAGGAAGAGACAGTATTTCTGTGGCTTTGTGGAAGGGAAGTCAGGGAGGCAGCCAGGAAGATATCAGGAAGAAAGGGGAAGGGTGTGTGCAAGATCCCGAAGAGGAAAAAGCAGCTGAATTTAGCACAGAGTATAAAGATCCAAAGTATAAGCCCAAGACCAGGGCTGCCACCAACCTAGCCCTCACGGGGTGGCGCCATGGGGGCATGGTGTCAGAGTGGCTGGTCCAAAAGCTGGTCCAGAACCTGGCTCTACCACTTACAGGATGTGTGACCTTGGGACAATTACTTTGCCTCTCTGGCCTCATCACCTTCATCTGAGAATGGGCAGAACACCACCACATAGGATCGGTATACTGATTAGACAATGCATGCATAAAGTGTTCAGAACAACACTGGCGTATGCAAAGAGCTCAAACGTTGTGTTTCTCAGTGATCTCCCTCCAGGGGTATGCAAATACAGAGGGGCTGGCTTCAGGGCAGGGGCACTGCCTCTCCAGGTTCAGGCCACATGGACAGAGCTGCAGCCCTCCCCTCCCCTCCAAACCAGGGACATTGCAATGACTGAGGGACAGACTTGACCACTTCTGTTGGGGAGGGCTTAGTCTCCCTGGGAGAGCGGGCAGAAGGTCAGGGAGGCTGGACAGGAGCTAGGACCGCCCCTACACACAGCCACCGTCATGGGTTTTCCGGGACAACCCGGAGTTCAAAACCGCTGCTCCCTTCGTGCCCATAAGGGCAGCGGAACTCATCACCCTATGGCCCGAAAGCCCAGTCGGTGAAAACACAGGGCTCCGTTCTGAGGCTGCATTCTCTGCAAATGACTCTCCCGGCCAAGGAGATGGCTACTTTTATCAAGGGCATGGGCGATAGACCTGGGCAGGCGGAGGTCCTCACCTGGCCTGAAACGCATGAGTGAGCAAGGAAATGTGAAAGACCAGGGGTGGCCACCACCCACAACCTTGACACAGGAGGGTTGGGGGCTGGGGGTTGGGGGCGTGCGGGAGTGATCAAACACAGCTTCCTCTTTAAAATCTCCCAGGACCAGGCCCTTCACTGCGCCAGAGTTCTGCTGAACTCACAACTGGGGGTTGAAGGAGGTGGCTTCCGGCTTGCTCTCCCTGCTGGGACCCCCCAGGCTGCTGCTGTCAATCGCCCGATTCTCCCACTGTCCAGGCGCTCCTTCCTAACCTCGGTGCTGGTCCGCATTCCCGGCCCTGCGAACAGCCCAGGGAACCTACGTGGTGGGAGGGCCCGAAACTGCAGCCTTCCAGGGAGCCCTGGGGCAGCGCTGACGGACACGCGGTTCTTGGGTAGGGTACGGCATTCCCGAGCCAATGAATTCGAAATGGGGGTCCTGAGGCGGCTCTGATCCTAGCGCACGTACAGCCCCATGACCTGCTCTGTACCAGGTCCCCGGCTCTGGCTGGACCGCGGTGCGGTTGGGGAAGGCAGAAGACCGCACAGGGTTGGGTCTTCCGGACCCGGTCCTCCCCACGCCTCAGAGGGGCCGGGCAGGGGGATCCCGCAGGCAGGGTGGGCCCCGACGCGGCACCCAGATCACCGGGCCGGGCGGACGCCCAGCGCTCGCTCTGCTCCCAGCCCACCCAGCTCCCAACTCACCGGCCTGCTGGAGGCAGAATCCCGGCTACGCCGCAGCGCCGGGGGCTCGGCCGGGCTCCGCCAGCCGGCGGGAGGCAGGTCCACGCCGCCGCCTCTTCGGCCCGCCCCGCTCCACCCCTCCCGCACACTTTCCACAGGAAATGATTAACTCGGGCCGCGGCGCGTTCCCATGGCAACCGGCTCCAACCCGGTGGGGGGCGGCGGTGCGCGCGCGCTCCCGCACACTCACGCGAGCACTCACGCGCGCGGCGACCCACGCCACGACTACCCGTGCTCTGCCCCGACCGTCCCCTGGGTGCCGTGGCTCCTCGCACCCCGCGCACACTAGTGCACACGTGCGCGCTCGCTCACCGGCGCACACGCATGCTCGTGCGTCCGTGCACGCACGGACTCACAAGCCGGTACACACCTCCCTCTCACATACTCTAGTTGGTATGCTCCGACACATTCCCACACCAGTTCGTACATACACTTTTGCACTTAAACTTAACACTCTAAGACACACATCTTCAAACCCTAGTACAAAACTTTCACATGCACTAGTTAGTACTCACGTACGCTTACATGCCTCCTCGCTGCCTTCACACACTCAAACTCTAGTACGTTTTTTGACATTCTAGCACATGCTTTTACACACACTCTTATACACTCTACCTAGTACATGTATACACTGTCACATTCCCACATGCTTACCCATGCACCCACATGCTTACTCACACGCCCCTTAGTACACACATACACTTCCACGTGGTCTGTGATTCATTCTCTCACACTCTAGTGACAGTGCACACACATTCGCTTTCACACATTATCACACATTTTCACACGCATGCTCTTATTAGCTCTGCTAGGAATACAGAGGCCAGGCTGCCTCTCCAGGAAGGGCACCCCCGCAGCCCTCCCCTCCCCCCCAGGGAGATTAGTATCTCCCGGAGCGGGAGAGCTGCTTGGGACTTTTTAAGGTAAGGTATGCCTTTCAGCCCCGTGGAAACTCAGTTGGAGGGCGGCAGCTCCCAGGGTAACCCCCAAAGGCCCTCCCGCGGATGCCTGGAGGAGCCGAGGAGAGACAGCTGACCCCGAGAAGCTACTCTGTTCTTTGTCTCCCAAACAGAGGCGGCATTTTACTCCCGAGTCAGCAGCAAGATTCCTCCTCCAGGGTGCGGAAGGAGGAGAAAGAAAGAAAGCTCAGAAGCCAGTCCGGTGCAGGCTGATGGTGCCGCAGATAATTCGAGGAGGGTGGGCACTCTGCCCCTTCCTGCTTGGCAGGGGATGGCCCAGGAGCAGCAAAGAGGGTACTGAAGGGGGGTCCTGCAGCCACAAGAGGTTCTGTCTCCTGCTGCTGCCCAGGCACTGGGAGGGTGGTCAAGAA